TGAATGCACGAACGCGCACAAACATGAAAAAACACAAATGAACATGCACAAACATGCACGAACGCGCACACATTAGTGCCATTGCCAATCTCAAAGCAGGGCATAACAAAAACCAAAGCTCAGCATCATGCACGATTGTGTACGGTTGTGCGCTTTCGTGCACAATCACACATGTTCACCTGCTTTCGTGCACTTTCGTGCGTGTTTGTGCGCGTTCGTGCTCGTTTGTTCACATTCGCGCACTTTGTGAAAGTGCGACTGAACTCTTGCTTTATTCTGTGCTACAGGGCCAGTATATATACATGTGAGTCGGGACCTCTGATACTGCTACAAGACCTATGGTACTGTGAGCGTAAGCATGTATACTAAGCATGAGTAATCAGATGTCGTATTACTACAAGATAATAGAGGGATCATGTGATGATATCCCCATTAGTCCGTACAGGGCAATAACGTAATCACCCAGTTGCGACACTTCCACTCGACTAGTTATTGCCTAATCTACTGAAGACCAAGCCTAGCATAGACCAGAAATGCTCAAATTTTGTTGCACCAAGTGGTTTCATCAATGTGTCGGCGATCATTTCGTCCGTACTAACGTAGACTATATCCACTTGTTTCTCTTCTACGTATTCGCGTATGAAGTGATATTGAATGTCGGCATGCTTGAACCTTCGGTCATGAGCGGGATTGACTGCGAGAAAGATTCCTCCTTGGTTGTCTGCTACCAAAGGTGGTGGTGCAGTAGAGAAGTAACCTAACTCTGTTTGGAGTGACGTTAGCCAGGCTAACTCAGAGCATGCCTCCGAGAGTGCCATGTATTCGGCTTCCGTCGAGGATCTTGCCACCGTCTTCTGCATTCGAGATGCCCATGTGACAGCTCCATTGGCCATCAAGAAAACGAAACCGGTTGTTAATTGCTGGTTGTCCTGATTTTTGCCCCAGTCCGCATCGGAATACCCTATCAAACCTGACTGATTTGAGCCAGAGTACCGAATACGATACTCGGTGGTATGACGGGATATCAGAAGATGTGCTTCGCGGCTTCCACGTGCTGTGACATAGGGTTTTGCATGTACTGTGAGAGTCGTGTGACTCCCCAGGTGATGTCGGGTCGAGAACCAATTATCAAATAGATGAGACTACCAATCATGGACTGATAGTGATGGCGGAGTGCGTCAGTAGCGGTATATGTCTCTGCGGCTTTCTCGAGATGTATGCCTTCGGGCAACGGTGTACGGCAAGGTTTTGAGTTGTGCATCTGGAACCGAGATAGGATTCCTTCGGTATACGACTGTTGGTCGATTTCCAGACACCTGTTGTTTCTATCACGAGTGATCCGCATTCCAAGGAATGTACTAGTGGCTCCAAGATCTTGCATTTGGAACTTCTCAGCGAGAACTTTCTTCACTCCTTGGATCTCAGGTAAACTTGGATTCATTGGTAGAAGGTCGTCAACGTAAACAATGAGGTAAACTTTGACTTTGTCGTGATGATAAACATAAACGCCAGCGTCTGAGCGCGTGCGCTTGAATCTATTTTCGAGTAGCATAGTATGTAGCTTCTTGTTCCAGGTGCGTGAGGCTTGGCGTAAACCATAGATAGCCTTCTTCAATCGACACACCATTTTTTCTTGTCCTTTCTTCACAAAGCCTTCTGGTTGTTCCATGTAAATCTCCTCATCGAGCTCGCCATACAAGAAGGCTGTTTTGATATCCATTGCCTCGATTTCCCAATTTTCGAGTGCAGCATGTGCAAGTAAGAAGTGTATAGCTTCATAGCATGCAACAGGAGAGAAGGTTTCCTGAAAGTCTATCCCCTCTATCTGTGTGAATCCTTTAGCCATGAGACGTGCCTTATAGCAACCATCGGGCTTGATCACATAAACCCATTTGCATTTTACGATTCTCTAGTTGTTCGGTCTGTTGACCAGAATCCATGTGGAATTCTCCTCCTGAGACTTGAGTTCCTTCTTCATTGCAATCTCCCACTGTTTTGCATCTGGGCGAGACATTGCCTCGCGGTATGTAGTGGGGTCAGGCTGGTGTGCATGACATATCCATTGGAATATATTCCGACGGAGTTGATTGTCGACTTCCATTGAGAGGCTTCACG